CTGTTTGTGAGTGTTGTCCATCTTTCCAAAAGGAGTAAGTAAATTCCAAGATGACAGACCTCTAAATTTTCTAGTCATGGAGATCTATTATTGTTCAATTTCTATCCATATATCTGACAGAAAATCAACTGGACCATATCCATCTGTCCTCTGAGATTGTTTCACCTAATTGGGTTTAAACTCTGTTAAGTTCCAAAGAGTGGTTCTCTAAGTCCAGACTCACATTCATCACTTGTAAAATGGAATAAGAATTATTATTATTCCTATCAAAAATTTGATCTCTCACTATATATTAATTATCGTGCTAAAAGCACTTTATATTTTCCAATTTAACAATCCCCAAATTCACGTTATACTCTTGTTTTCAAATGGAAAAAACTAAAGCTTAGAGAGCTTAAGTAACTTACTAAAATTCATAAAGTTAATAAGGAATGGAGTCTGAATTCAAAATAAAACAGGCTGATTCCTGAGCAAAATGCTTTTTTGTCTTACTGCCTAACTCAGTGGTTCTCAAATTTTTTGACCTCAGGATCCCTTCACTCTCGTAATAATTATTGAGGACTCCAAAGAACTTTCTCTTTAAATGTAGGTTATTTCTATCAATATTTACTGTATTAGAAATTAAAACTAATAAAAATTAATTACTCATTAAATATTTAAAGGATAACAATAAACAACTCATATTCTAACATAAGTAACTTTTTGTGTGAAAAATTATAGTATTCTCACAAAATAGAGTTAAAAAGTGACATTGTTTTACATGTTTACAAATTTTTAAAATGTCTAGCTTAGAAGACAGCTGAATTCTCCTATCTGCTTCTGCATTCAATCTGTTGCAACATTTTTATTCAGTTGTAATATGTGAAGAAAACTGACCTCACACAGATACGTAGTTGGAAAACAAAGAACTGACGGTTAAAGATATTCTCCTTTGATACTATACCAAAACTCTACAATGGCAGTTTCTTAAAAGTTAATTGCAATGTGAAATCTGAAAACATATCAATGAACTTTTTGTACCATGTTACATTAAAATCCATTGGTCTGTCTTGCATTTTCAATGGAACTTTGATACCTATGCATAATTTTGTAACATGCATTTCGCATCTGAAAAGTATTGGTTGACTGAGTCATAAGTCTTCCAAATGTTGACACACTTCATTGTATAATAATATTTTTTTAAAAAATCACATTCATTAAAATCATCACCAACTTCACCAGAAAAGTCTATTAAGTATTTGGAACCTGTGAAGCTCATGGTGGCAAATACAAGTTTTCCAAAATTCTAATTTTCACTTGAAAGCTTGAATTTTGTCATTAGCAACAAATACTGTCAATTGCTTACTAACCCTAAAAGGACTGACTCATTTCATTTTTGAGAAAATGTATGCCAAATAATCAAGTCTGAATAATCATAATTAGTCATTTTTTCAAGTAAAAGCAGTATTCCATCAAAAAAGTGACTAATTCAGCTCACAACTCAAAACAATTACACAAGTGCTTTTCCTCAAGACAACGGTCGTACCTCAGTATGCAGTAGAAGTGCTCTCTGTGTACTTCCTATTTAATCACACAGAATCTTAAACAGAAATGTATTTAAGATTTAAGAAAATCAGTACTTTTTACTGCTTCATCATGAAAAATTTTAAGTGAACTGGCAAGTTAAACATACTTTTTTTAATTTTCAACTGCAACTTAAAAAATAAAAGTGCATATTGATAAAGAACACAAGGACTAGTAATAAAGTTTGGTGCCACTGCCTTGTTTTTGCTCCATTCATTTCAACACAGTGAAAAAAGCAAATAACATCTAAGTATTATTATGAAAATAATTTAGACCTCATAGATCCCTTGAAAGAATCTTGAAGACTACCAGCAGTCTATAAAACACCCTTCGAAAAGAGCTGACCTAATTCAAAGGGTGGTTATAAAGAGTAAGTGTGATATTGTATATAAAGTGCTTAGCATAATTTCTGGCACTTAGTAATAATAGATACACAATAACTAGCTGTTTATAATATTATGATGATTATGTAACAATGCTATAAAGGAGAGTCAAGTATTTCATGAGATTTAGACTATAAAAAGTTCTCCCAAACCTTAGATTCTATTATGATCAAATAACTGTTAAAAGAATCATTAGAGACAGACTTAAGGTATCAATTATAATCTGACACCACTATTTTCTGCTGTTTGGTTCCACAGCATTAGTAAAATACTTTTTTTAAACCATTTTAATGATTGCTCAATGATTATACTACTAGTAATAAAAATTATTTTTAAATTACTAGAAAAAAAAACTCCTCTACAGTCCTGACATTCCAACAAACCCAATTATTTTGATTGTCTATTTCCATTCTTACTTTTGTATGTATATATGTGGTGTGACTATATATTTTATGTATATAAATATATAAATTTCTAGAATCATAATCAGAATATAAATAAATGTATTAAAAACGTATTTAAGGGGGGTAGGTATAGCTGAGTGGTAGAGCACAGGCTTAGCATGCACGAGGATCTGGGTTCAATCCCCAGTATCTCCAAAAAACAAAACAGAACAAAAAAACCTCTTGAATCACTATGCTGTACAACAGAAATTAACACAACATTGTAAATTGATTATACTTCCATTTTTAAAAAATGTATTTAAGGACAATATCCTTAAGTTACAATCATCAACTAGTTGAAAGTGGTATATTAGTGGTCTTAGATGTCAGTGCATTGGAATGTATATGCCCAAACTTGAAAAGCAAACTTTCAGCAGTTCTGTTTTGAAATAGGGTGACGTCATGAGGGTAGGGTGATTCTCATAAGACTATTGCTATGTATGTTGTAGACTTTAAAACTCTTATTATGGTTCTCATGACAGAGGGACCAGAACCCACAGGGGGAATAAGGCATCCAGAATTGGGGCACCTTGAGTTAAAACCCTCTTATCTGAAGCAGCTCAACCCATGCAATCCTATTGGAGCCATTCTAAAGAAAATAAGATGGCTCAGTGGCTAGATAGAATACTTGTTACTAAAAAGAAAGCCTACTAAGACCACTCTGGATTTCTCAGCAGTGCGACACTTTGGGGCATCCTAGCCTAACTAATACTAATATAACTCAGGGTACCAACTCAAGGCCAAGAGCAGACATTCTCCTTAATATGTTAAGGCAGCTTGTAAAATAATAATGGGATGTACGGTAGGAAGAAACAAAAATTATTCTAAGACTTCAACATTAGCTAACATTTATTGAAGTTTTACTATGTGTAAGACATTGTATAAAATTTTTACACATATTACCTTTTCTAATCCTATTAATAACCCTATTTCCTCTGTGGTAACGATCTCTATCAGGCATATAAGGAACCTGAGGTTCAGAGAGATTAAGTGAATTACCCAAGGTCACAAGGCCAGGACCAAGTGGAGCCAAGAATGCAACCCAGTTCAGTCTGACTATAAGCCCTTGTTCTTGATCATTGTGTTATGATACTCCCATATAAATAACTGATAATTACCAATTATTTCCTTGGGGGAAAAAAAGCAGTGAATTCAATAAAGACTTTTAAAAGATTAAAATTATCTTCAGGGTTTCATGGGCCCTTGATCCATCATTGTACACAGACCTCAAGTTAAGAACCTCTGCACTAAGGATCTCAAGGCCTCTAATACAGCGTAATACGTTTAAAATCTGGAAAAAAAGGTAAAGCAATAATAACAATAATAGCTGTAATTTGTTGAGCACCTACTATGTGCCCGATACAGTGCTTAGTGCTTTATATACATTACCTCATTTAGTTTTCATCTTATAATGCAATACCCATTACTCTGATGAGAAAACTGAGGTTCAGGGAGTTTAAATGACTTGATCAAAGAATTGGGAGGGAACTGAGCTCAAGCTGACTCTTTCTATGGCACCAGTTCCCACCCGAATCAATCCCAGGTCAAGGGTTTAAACTTACTGTCAAAACAAACACTGAACAAACCCTGGAGATGTATTTACCTGTATGACTTATGCAGCTCCATGACCTTCTCTTCAAGTTCCTTGGTCTGATTTGGGGCCAGTTTAAAATCACTAACGTAATCCTCACCATGGAGTTCTGGGTCATAGTCTCCCAGCTCAGACTGGATGGTATAAGAACCCAATAACGCTAAGGTTGCAAAGGAACAGGGCAGACGTCCTGCAACTATGTCCTGCCGAAGTTGAAGACATAAATAATACCTGTAGCCAAAAGAGAAAAGATGTTACCATGTCAGCAACAACAACAATAACAAAATACAGAGAGAGGAAAAGGAAAAAACGTGAGACAGAGGTAGGGAGGGAGAATGAGAAAGTGATTAAGTAAATATGAAATAATACTAATAATTGCTAAATCTAGGTAGAGGATATATGGCTGTTCGTGGTACTATTTTTTTTTGTATTCCATGTGTTTGAAATTTTTCCATATAAAAAGTTAAGAGAAAAACTGTATGTTGGAAAGCAGTTTAGAAAGAAAAGAGGAAAAGTTGGGGAAGTCTGAAGGAGGTAAAGAAACTAATATTTTGTTGAATGCACCAAGTTGCTATATACACATAAATTATCTCATCTAATCTTCACAAAGACATTTGTGAGATGGTTATTTCTGCCAGATCATAAGAAGGCAGCCTCAGAGGCTAAGCTTGTTCAATGTCAGATAGTAATAAAGGCTATTTGGCCCCAAATTGGGCCCTTCTTTATCACACTGCTTTGCCAAATGTGTACATACTGCCTCTCATATACAAAGATGACATTATTGATACATTTCCACTAGGATATGAACACTTTTTTGGTATGTTTTGCCTCCAAGATGGGCTTAAATTGCATAGAGCCTTCCACACGTTACCATCTTATATACAACTTGATTCCACCTGTGTGCTAACTGTTGGAACTTCAGATTGGGGTTGAAAGGGTTAACTCAAACAAATTGACTGAGTGCCCCTACATGTCAGACACTCTGTATGTTATTCACACCCAAGGCGCTGACCTCCTTAGCCCTTGTTCTGACTCAGTTAACCAGTTCTGACTCTTACCAAACAGGAAAACTGGGGGGTATGATTAAATAGAAACTGCCTGTATTAATTAGAATCATATCTTTGCTTTGACCATAAGATGTTGAATAACATATGTATCAGCAGTCATTTTTACTATCTATGATTAGTCACTAATACATGTTTTTTAAAACATCAGAGCAATGCCAATCAAATCACAAGAATCTTAAACTCCTATAAAATATGAGTAATTAGTACAGATTTTTAGGGATTTGTTTCATTGTATATATTAAAAAAAAACCTCAATGAAGAAAGATGAGTAAGTAGCAACTCTAAGAGACAAGTATTACAAATATAACAAATATGAAAAGAAACAATCAAGACAATTTTTTCAGGCAGAGATATGGCAACTCAACTTCAAGAATGTACTAAGGATAACTAGACAAACAGTAATTTTTTAAAATGGTATACACATTGTAGACATTTCACAGGACTTCAATCAGACTTTTTTAAAGAGTCTTAGTCAATTCTCTTACTTGAGAGAGACGAAAACTGAAGCCCAGAGAGTATATACTTGTTGGAAATCAGACAGTTGACAGCAAAATCAGAATTAGCAGATTCTCAACAACCAATAATCTAACTGAACAAACCTTTGCCAAGAACCTACTATGTATAAGGCTCCATGCAAGATGCTATGGACATAAACATGTACAGTAGTACTCGTTACTATATACTGTGTTTCCATTTTCCTTTTCTGCTAATATTTATATAGAATCCAATAAAGGCCACTTTCTTAAAATGAATCAGTAAGCTGTTTTTAAAGAGTACTAGATTTATTTCATAAATTAAGTGCTCTTAAAAAATACTGAGTAACATTCAGTTCATGTACCTCATCATACAATTTAAAAGGGGAATAGGAAAAAATAATACTAACACTGAGACTTCAGCTTTTTGATCCCTTAAGAAAGAACACGGTGGGAGAGGAGTATTTAAAACAAACAGCAGAGCTATTTTGCCACTATATCTGTGTCTTGTCCTTTGGAGGACGGTGTGGTTTATAGGTTCCTTGTCCACAGCATGGCAAAATACTTACAATAAGTAAGGTTAATTCCCCTGCCAGTTTCCTCCAGGCAAGTCGCAGATATCTGAAGTTTTGAGGCTCATTTATTTGCAAGCCTCCCTTGAAGTGACCAGAAACATTTTATCTTAGGTTTAATAGCTCATCATTTTTCTTCAATTCTGAATGGAGAAATTCTCAGAGCTTATGATAATGCAATTACTTACCACACATTTAACTATTAATAAATTACTTACCTTGTTATATCTTCCGTCAACTGTGCTGGGTCAGGTGGATAAAACTTTACATTAAATGTGAAATTCCAAGGAATACCTGTAAAAATAAATACAAAAGAATTTTATGCTTATGTCTACGTTTCTGGTTGTTAGAAATATTTTAAAATATTCTCCCCAAAATCTTTTATCCCCTGAGTTTTTAAAACATATTTTCATGCTTTGTGGATGAACTATTATTTTTATTTTAAAAAGAAAAAGCAGAAAGTTGTTTAGATACCACCTGAGAGAGTATCTCATATTTTTACCTCATTTAATAATTTGTTTACAAAACTGTATAGGCAAAATAACATGAAGGAAATCATCCTATAGGTCAACATATTTGTAGCAATAGTTTTCAAAATATGACCTATAAAACACTCTGGTCCTCAGAGGTCATTCAAATGATCCATGAATGTTTTCTTTTGGTGTTGGCATTACTTATTTGTGGTATCTCTCAAAATTATCTCAAATGAACGAAAGCACTTTTCCCATTAATATGGATGAGATTAGGAGATTATTTTAGAAATAACAAGGGAGAAGCAATATAGGTGGCTCTTAGAAAGTATAGCTCTAATAAAAATATCGTAGGTATGAAAACTGCAAGAGTTCAATCCTAAAACTCATACAAGTGTTTCATATTTTTTATCTACAATGAAAATCAGAGAGTATGAGTGAAAGTTACATGGAGAATGCATTTCAGTTTTTCCAGCTAAGTGCTACCCCTTCATGGTTTTTCTAGTACGACTGTTGGCTTCCCAAAGAGCGGAGCCTGAGCTCAGTCAGAAATAAGTATGATTGGTTATGACGTAAGAGTTACATTTTATTCAGTGCTTACTGCATGCCAGGCACTAAGCTAGCCCTCATATATATTAAATCATTTAATTCTCACAGAAACCCACGAAGGTAGATACTACTATTAGTTCATTTTATTTAAAAAAAAATAGAGGCTTAAGAAAATACACAGGTAGTAATCCAGGGTTCTCATATTCTAAATTCCATGCTTTTAACCACTGGACTCTACTACCCTACTACAAACATCTGTGTTTCAAACACTGTTTTTCATTCAGTCCATAGTGTTTCTTTTTCAAATGTCACTTTTATTGCTAATAGTTAGCAATGACAATACACAAATTAAAACTGGAAGTAGTCTGAATGTCTTAATGAATATGTAGTTTTAAGCATGTTAAAATATTTAATATAGGAGTCTCTTGGAAATGGTTGATATTTTCCTTCAAAATTTGAACTAAAAGGTAAATTCCAGACAATATAACAAATTTGTCTCAAATTTAGCCAATCTTAACATCTACCATCAACCCACTTCTAATGTTTCATATCCCTAAAACTTTAAATGGAACTTAAATCAGAAAAACAATCCCATAATTGTTTCTCATAAAAGATAGGGAGGGGATGGTGAGGCAGTATTTACACTACAAATACTGTAAATTAAAATATCATCTGTTGTTTCACGTTCTGATATGGTAAAAACCACACCAGTCTAATCATTGTCAACTCATAATTCCCAGGTAGACATAAAAAAGGTGACTTCTGTACTACATACAAAAATGTATTCACTAGACCAAGTCACTATGGGAAACAAGATAGCCAAAAGAATGTTTAATAAATATGAATTCAGCATTTAAGAACTTTAAACATAAATTTAGTTATTTCATTACATATATAAATGGCAATTCTTAAATTGTATAGAAGAATAACACTAAGGAAAGAAAATTAGCAGTAGTTTAAAAAGCATGACTTTTGTTTCTCTTTGAGCTCTGGGTCAAGTAACTGATATAGAAAGCTTAGTAACACCCACAGTTGGTGGGGAAAATAAGTACTTTCTTCTACTGCTGGTATAGGTGTAAACTGGCACAACACTATGGAGAATAATTTGATATCTATCAAAACGTAAAATGTATCTAAACATAAATTTAAATGTGGTCAAATGATATCTGTATAAGATATTATTTGTAATAGCAAACGCCTGGAAACAGCCTAAATGTATTCATTTAGCAAGAAAATATACATCGCCACCATATAGTGTTAAGTGAAAAAAAAAATCAAGGCAAAGAACAATACATTTGGAAAGCAACTGTGAAAGTTTGGGGTAGAAAAAAGTACATATCACAGGTATGATTATATATGCAGAGACTATCCCTATAAGGGTACACAATATACTAACAGCAGTTGGGGAACTCCTGGGGAGGGAAACTGAGAGCGAGGGGAAAGTGAATAGGAGATCTACTTTCACTATATACTCTTTTACACCATTTGAACTTTGTACTTTGCACATGTACTACTCTGTGTGTATGTGTGTATCATTTTTAAAGAATAATCTTTGTCTCTTCCCACTACAATGCAAATCCCCGAAGGTAAGAATTTTTTCTGTTTTATTTGGTGTATATTCCGACCACCTAAAACAGTGCCTGGTATATCCTGGCTGCTCAAGAATTATTTGTTGAGTGAATGAATGAAATAAAGTAACTGAGCTCACAGCATTGTTGTGAAGGTCATATGAGATTGCTACAGCTCCCCCCAAAAATAGTTTTTTTTTAAAAGATTGCACAAAAGAAGGATAACAGGTACTAGCATATAAAAATTATTTATCTACACATTAATCTGGATCCCCCAATGACCTCAAGTTACTAGATCTCATCAAATGAAAACATTAAAATTAAAAAAAAACCAAACTGTATTCCAGTTGGCTTTTTCCTCTTCATTTAACCCCAAATAAGGAAGTTTAACTATATTAGAAATAACCATATCCAAACAGAAATGTCCCAACTATTAGCTCCTTTATGTTTGTTAACAACAAAAGTAAGAGGAACTCAAACTTTTGGTTCCTATTCTTTTCCATACAAGAGACACAAGTTTGTGATATTGCTAAAGAAGATATCCAGTTTAACTGCAAGCAAGCTCAGAGTTAAATGCAACAGAGAAGCTAAAATAATTAATCACTTAAAATTCAAAAAATAGTAAAGTTAAGCTTTAGTCAGTGACCATTTCTAGAATACAATACATAAACGGTTGACCTTTGAACAACGTGGGGTTAGGGGTTGAGACCCTCTGTGTATAAGGTAGAGTCCCCATCCCCGGGTTCCTCCCCATCCACGGTTCCTCCCTATCCGCCTCCCTATCCACAGTTCCACATCCGCAGGTTCAACCAACCACACCTCCTACAGTACTATAGTATTTACTATTGAAAAACATCTGCACATAAGTGGACCCACGCAGTTCAAACCTCTGTTGCTCAAGGGTCAGCTGTAATTAGTAATACCTTATAGAGAATGTTTAACAAAAGAAAGAAATGGAGGCTGGAAAAGCTCTAATATATTTTAACCTTAAAATTTCTGCCTTCTAACTCAGCAGCACTTCAACGACATTCCTGCCAAAAGTGCATAACCTGAAGATTCGTGTACCATGAGGAAATAATGGACGGACTCAAAGTGACCACTTACAAAATGACTGGTCTGGACTCTGCAAAACTATCAATGTTATGAAATATGTTAAAGATTCAGGAACTGTTCCATTTTAAAGAAAGTGATGTGACAACTAAATGCAAAGTATCACCTTGTACTTTCTTTTGCTATAAAGAATATTATTGGGACAACAAATAGCACCGATAGTTTATAAGATTGTTTCAATGTTAATTCCTGGCTTTTAGGAATTGTATTACAGGTATGTAAGAAAATTCCTAGTTTTTAGGATATGAAGTATATCAGGGGTAGAAGGATATCATGACTAACTTTTTTGTAAATTGAGGTAAAATTCATGTAATATTAACCATTTTAAAGTATACAATTCAGTACATTTAGTGGTACAATTCAGTACCACTTAGCACATTCACAATGCTGGATAACCATCATCTCTATCTAGTTTCGAAACATTCTCATCACCCACAAAGGAGACTCTGTATCCATTAAGCAATCACTCCCTTGCCACCCTCCTCCTAGCCTTTGGCAACCTCTAATCTGCTGTCTCTATGGATCTGTATTTCATATGAATGGAATCATACAAAATGTGGCTTTTTATGTCTGCCTTCTTCCACTTAGCATAGTGTTTGTGGTTCCTCTGTGCTGTAGCATGTATCAGTACTCCATTCCTTTTTAAGAATAAATAATATTCCATTGTATGGATATATCACATTTTGTTTATCCATTATCCAATGATGGACATTTGGGTTGTTTTCCCCTTTTGCCTATTGTGAATGATGCAACTTACACTTAAATGGTTCAGAAAAAAGGCCGTGTGTGTGTGTGTGTGTGTGTGTGTGTGTATAAACAGAAAATAACATAAAATAAATGTTGTAAAATATTAACATTTGAGGAATCTGGGTGAAGGGTATCCTGGAATTCTTTGTTCCATTCAACTTTTAAGCCTGAAATTATGTCCAAAAACTTTTAAAATCAGTCATTGAAAAAAAATTCCTGCCTTCTGAGGCAAGAAAACAGGAACTGTCTCATACACTATTAGTGGTTGTGTAAACTACTATAATCAATTTAAAGGAGAGCAATCTGGCTATATCTGGTAAACGTACTCTATAGTCTAGCAATTCCACTCTCAGGTATATACCCTAAATCAGTGTCGGGGTTTTTTTTAACCTGTGGATCAGGATCAATTGTACAATCAGTTCAGTGGGTCAAAATCAGCATTTTGAAAAAGTGAAATAGAGTATGAAAAAAAAAGTCAGAGGCTATCTCATAGTAAAGAATAAAAATTATTTTGTGAAAATTTTTTTCAACTGAGGTGAATTCCAAAATCATGTTGTATAAGAAAAGCTAATAACAAATAATTAACTGTTACATAATTCAACTTCTATGATGTTCAAAAAGGTAAAACATAATATTTTGAGATACACAGTCATACGTTAGGTAGCAAAAAAAAAAAACCTAATGGAATCATTAACACAAAATTCAGGACAGTGGTGACACCTGCAGGGGAAGGAGAGGAGGATGCATTTAGAAGGGGCATATCCCGGGCTACAGAATTTCTTAAACATAATTTGTATTATTTTATACATCAGTATTTTACATATATCTAGAAGGTATAAGGATTCCTAGCTTTTGCTCTGAAATGGATGGAGGTGGCTAGCCTGACTCAGCAGGGGGAGATCTCTCTTATTTAGAACCAAGGGAGTTAAACAAAGCTAAAAATTAAGCTGAGAGAAGGGAAAGAGATTTAGATAAATATCAGAAGAAGGTTCAAATGGATAAAGTTGAGTCCAAGGGAAACTTAAAAAAAAAATAGGCAAACCAATACTATCTATTATATATGGATATAGAAATATGAAGGAAAAATATAAAGACATGGACTGAATCACCCCAAATTCATGAAAATAGATTTCTATGGATAAGCAGAGAAGGGGATGGGACCAGGATGAAAACAAAAGAACAAACCTTATGTGTACTGTTCTATTTTAAATGTAAAATGTTAACATGTGTTAATTCTGAGTGATGCGTACATGGGTATTTATTACATTAGCCTTCATACTTTTCTATCGTTTTTGAAATAAGAAAAAATCTTGCTGGTAAATATTTATTACAAATTTAAATATTCATACTTTTTTAATTCTACTTCTAGGAATTTACTACGGATACATATAAGTGAACAGATACAGAGAGATATATATATGTTCACTGCAACACTGCTTGTAATAGCAAACTATTGAGATTAACCCAAAATGTCCATCAACAGGACTGGTGACATATATATCGCGTTATGACTATATAATCATTAAAAAAATTTTAACAGATGAAATAAATTGATAAATGTTGATATAAAGAGTATTCAAATTATCTTAAAGAGTGCTTCCATATTGATATCAATATATAGAGAATATACATATTTATATTAAATATATTTATTAAAATATATATCTATAAAATGTAATACATGCATTAAATACATACTTATATTAAAATGTATGTCTATATACACTCAGAACATGTCTGGAAAGAACACAAGAAATTAGTTAAAGAGAAGGGAAGAAGGGAGATTTACCCTGAATTATATTCATCTATATATTTTAATTTTATACCTCATATTTACATTACCTATTTTTAAAATTTTTAACTACATATGGGATAATATACAACACAAAGAAAATACACTGCATAATAGTGTATAGTATAACTGTATTTTTTTTTAATGGAGGTACTGGGGATTGAACCCAGGATCTTGTGCATGCTAAGCACATGCTCTAAACCACTAAACTATTACCCCCACCCCCATATAACTGTATTTCTGAAAAGCAAAATTCATATATGCCTACCAAAAATTTTGCAGATTACACCAATTTAACAATAATTATATCTGGATGATAGGATTTGGAGACCTTTTACTTTCTTCATGATATATTTTCATAATGTTCAAATTTTTCACAATGGGCATATTTGTGTGATGAAAAATCTTTTTTAAAAACCCAAAATCTTTGCAATAGGTAAATGTCAATTTTCTCTTCGGCTCAGTGAAATTTTTACATCTTGATTCCCTATTAAAGTTTGTATTATGGACACAGTTTATTCTTTCCCATGTTGAAGAAAGAATTTTTATTATTCTGTAATTTTTTTTACACTTGATCTTAGCCAAAAGGCCAAGAAGCGATATGTAATTTATTTTTAATGACACTTAGGTTCTTTTTCTCCACAGGAGTTCTTTTTTTTTTTTTAATAGCCTGGAAGATAATCCACTAAATATTCTTCTCAACTCATCATAAACTCTGTTTCAACTTTTCTCCCTAAAGAGTCTTCTTGTATAATCATTTGTTCCTGAGTAATATTGAATATTAAAAGTACTTTCATTGAAAGGGGCCTGGAATCATGTTTTTTCTTATCATGTCTCAAATATTCTGGATTTTTTTTCACTCTGACTTGCATTTTATAGCAAGGTTTTATAAGGCAGGAAGCAAATATGGAAAGTTGCCGGTCCAAAGGAGTACTTTGTTTCTCTATCATAAGAAATATAAATAAATAGGGTCTAAAGGAAAATATTTCACCATAATAAAAGTGGTTTCTTTTAAGAAACAAATGAAAAATAAAATTTCTTTCAGGTAATATAGTTAAAACTTACTAATCATGATGAATAAACATCTATTGCAGTCCTACAGGCGTCCTCAAAACTAAACTAAAAGGCCATCTAGTCATAAATAAGAAGGGAAATGTCTCTACCCTTTAGTCCATTGGGCCTGGGGCTACGAAATACTAATCTACACTTTTTTTCAGCTTAGACATATCTATCCCAGGACACCAGTGTGAGCAGCGTATTCAGTAGTAATATATGCCAGAAGGCTTGGAGCTAGAAGAAAGCCACAATGTCAGGAGGGCCACTGGTAAGGAATTTTCGTTCTTCTATTCTTTTTTTTTTTCTTTCCAGAAGTTTCTTATATACTTCAATTTGGAATAAGACTGTCAAAAAGGAACAAAAAAGAACTACAGAGAGGAAAGCATGGAGAAAGTTAGAACTCAATAGTCCAGAACAATTTAAAAGGAACAGAATCAGGCAGCAAACTCCTAATTGTACGCTACTGCAGTTTCAATTGCTACCATTTTGAGAACTGACTCCCATATCCTTTTCTCTTCTGTTCTTTGTTCTTTTCCACCTTCTATTTTTCTCAGTCATTCCTATCTTCCCTTACTTTGCCTGGTTGTAAAAAAGAAATCACCAAGATCTGACCTACATCTCAACAATGTCTACCTCTGCTGTATCTTTCTATTACGGAATCTTCACCTTCCAAAGGAAGGCTTTATCTCAATTTCAAAACCATCTGCCATAGTCAGGATTCTAAAGTGACTCACAGCCAGAAAATGGTTGGAAATCCTCTGACCTACTAAAAGAAAGAAAGAACTATAAAAAGGGATATATTCACTTACCATGAACTTGCTTCTTTATTTCTTTGGCAGGATCCAGCCATGTCTGTAAAAAGAAGAAAAGGCATTCACACAGAGCTCCAAAATACATAAACAGAGAGTCAGAAGCAGGGTTACTCACCATCTCCAATAATGCCTCCAGGTCAAACTACATTTCCAATATTCTTTGCATTAATTTTGACCAGAGAAATGAGGGGCCAGACAGTTGGGCTTGAAGCCCAGCTCTGCTACTTCCTAGCTGAGTGACTTTAGGCATCTCTGTACCTCAGTCTCCTCATCTACTAGAGGAAATAAAATAAGATATTAGTAGTAAAGCGCCTATCTCACAGAGTTATTGTGAAGGTTGAAAGAGTTAATATATGTAAAGCTCTTAGTACACACGAAATGCTAAATAAGCACTTGTTATTTTTATTATTCTGTAAAGACTAATACAGATATTTAACCAGGATTATTGACATCACCCAGATCTTATTTTTCCCTCCAACTCTGACCCCTACCCTCATTCAAGTTTTCTACGTCAGCACAGCACCTGGTACATGGTTCATGCTCAGTTAATGTTTACTGAATAAATAACTATTTTGTTTTCCCACACTAAGTTCTCCCTTCACTATTCTCCAACCCCAACTTAACGTCTGCACGCCACAAGAGCAGAGTTCCTCAACTAACAGTGGCCCATGCAAAAATAATGGCACTTAAAAAGAGCCTCACCATTAACATTTTTCACAGGCTCCCTGAGAAACATTTAAAGACAGAAATTTCTAAATTGAATTGTCTACAACACTCTTATTGACATAAGATACACTGGTAAGTACATAATACATATGTATAGATCAGTAAGTTATCCAAGTGAACATATAAATATAATATTACCAACATCCAGGAGCCCCTCTCATGCCTCCTCCCAATCTCTCCCCATTCTCTCTTCCAAAAAGTTTAGAATTGAATTTTAGTTTTTTTAGAAAAGAGGAGCAGAGTGTCCCCTCCTCATCCTATACCAACAAGGACAAAGTCCAAGGTGTCCATCCTATTTGCCCTACCCAAGGAATGGGCTTGAACACCACAATCTTTTATTTGTTTACATATCATATTGTGTTATATAAAGATAGTCACCACAG